AATACAAATAGCTTATTATTTTTTGTAACCTATGTCTTATAATAAAGCAGTGCTGAAAAATTAAATAGAAGAAAGTTCAGCTGCCATATAGGCTATGCAAATGATTTGCTGATGGTGATTTTTAAGCTTGATTCTAAATAGATTTATGGAGCATTGCCTTGGAAGTTGTGATTCAAATTTTGCTATTTAAGGTATCTTGAAATTATAGGCTCACTCTCCCTAAAATTTCAAAAAGTGTAGAGCTTAGGCTCTTAAGAGTATAGCAGTGATAAAAGCTTTCATAGTCATTTCTAAAAAGCAACACTTCATAGTTTTCTCTCTCCAATGGTTCTCTAATATACTTGTAGAAGGAAGGCAACAGAAAACCAAGAATAAAAATAGCTGAGCTCTCCACAATTGGGCTTCCTTCTTACTTTCCCTGTTCAAAGAAAAGAGGAGACACCATCTTGAAATAGAGGCTTCATAGACAACTGAGCTTCTCCAGTGACAGTTGGCATTTGATGCCCCATATCTCTTGGTTCTTCTTGTTGCCAATGGTCAGCCTGGCAATGATGGTGAAGTGGGAGCAATTAATCTGTAGATGAGGGAGTCCTTTATTGTAGACTGATGCTGAAGCTGAAACTCTAATACTTTGGCCACTTGATGGGAAGAACTGATTCATTTGAAAAGACCCTGATGCTGGGAAAGATTGAAGGCAGGAGGAGAACGGGATGACAGAGGATGAGAAGATTGGATGGCATCACTGACTCTATGGGCATGAGTTTGAGTAAACTCTGGGAGTTGGTGATGGACAGGGAGGCCTGGCATGCTGCGGTTCATGGGGTCACAAAGAATCGGACACAACTGAGAGACTGAACTGAACTGAACCAGGGAAGCCCAGTGAGATACCACTACACACCTATTAGCATGACTAAAGTTAAAAGTAATGCTGATGCCAAGCACTGATTAGGGTACAGAGCCACTGTAACTTGGGAAAACAATCTGGCAGTTTCTTATAAAATTAAACCTACACTTACTATATGACCCAGCAATACTACTGCTTGATGTCTACCCAAGAGAAATTAAAATTGTGAAAAAATCATACACAAATAGTTATAGTGGATTTTCTCATAATCACTCCAAACTGGAAACAATGTGGTCCTTCAACAAAGGTGAATGGATACAAAATGGAATACTACTTGGCAAGACAAAAGAATGAACTATTGATACTAGCAAAAATACAGATGAATCTCAAAGGCAAGATGTGGGGTGAAAGAAATCAGACTAAAAAAGCTACATACTGTGTGATTTTGCTTCTACCACCTTCTGGAAAAGGCAAACCAAATGGACAGAGAGTAGTTTGACTAGTGTTTGCAACGGGCAGGTGGGGGAGGAGGGGTGGGTGGAGGAGATCAATTTAAAGGGGCAGGAAAGAACTTTATAGGGTGATGAACCTGTTCTAGATCATGACTGTGGTGCTGACTACATGACTAGCTGTTGGTTAAAACACAATGAACTATACATAGAAAACTATAAAACACTGATGAAAGAAATCAAAGAGGACACAAATAGATGGAGAAATATACTGTGTTCATGGATTGGAAGAATCAATATTGTGAAAATGAGTATACTACCCAAAGCAATCTATAGATTCAATGCAATCCCTATCAAGCTACCAACCATATTCTTCACAGAACTAGAACAAATAATTTCACAATTTGTATGGAAATACAAAAAACCTCGAATAGCCAAAGTAATCTTGAGAAAGAAGAATGGAACTGGAGGAGTCAACCTGCCTGACTTCAGACTATACTACAAAGCCACAGTCATCAAGACAGTATGGTACTGGCACAAAGACAGAAATATAGATCAATGGAACAGAATGGGAAGCCCAGAGACAAATCCACCTACCTACAGACACCTTATCTTCAACAAAGGAGGCAAGAATATACAATAAAAAAAAAAGACAACCTCTTTAATAAGTGGTGCTGGGAAAACTGGTTAACCACTTGTAAAAGAATGAAACTAGAACACTTTATAACACCATACACAAAAATAAACTCAAAATGGATTAAAGATCTAAATGTAAGACCAGAAACTATAAAACTCCTAGAGGAGAACAGAGGCAAAACACTCTCTGACATAAATCACAGCAGGATCCTCTGTGACCCACCTCCCAAAATATTGGAAATAAAAGCAAAAATAAACAAATGGGACCTAATGAAACTTAAAAGCTTTTGCACAACAAAGGAAACTATAAGCAAGGTGAAAAGACAACCTTCAGAATGGGAGAAAATAATAGCAAACCAAGCAACAGACAAAGGATTAATCTCAAAAATATGCAAGGAACTCCTGCAGTTCAATTCCAGAAAAATAAATGACCCAATCAAAAAATGGGCCAAAGAACTAAACAGACATTTCTCCAAAGAAGACATACAGATGGCTAACAAACACATGAAAAGATGCTCAACATCACTCATTATCAGAGAAATGCAAATCAAAACCACAATAAGGTACCATTACACACCAGTCAGGATGGCTGCTATCCAAAAGTCTACAAGCAATAAATGCTGAAGAGCATGTGGAAAAAAGGGAACCCTCTTACACTGTTGGTGGGAATGCAAACTAGTACAGCCACTATGGAGAACAGTGTGGAGATTTCTTAAAAAATTGGAAATAGAACTGCCATATGACCCAGCAATCCCACTCCTGGGCATACACACTGAGGAAACCAGATCTGAAAGAGACACGTGTACCCCAACGTTCATTGCAGCACTGTTTATGATAGCCAGGACATGGAAGCAACCTAGATGCCCATCAGCAGATGAATGGATAAGGAAGGTATGGTACATATACACCATGGAATATTACTCAGCCATTAAAAAGAATTCATTTGAATCAGTTCTAATGAGATGGATGAAACTGGAGCCCATTATACAGAGTGAAGCAAGCCAGAAAGATAAAGACCAATACAGTATACTAACGCATATATATGGAATTTAGAAAGATGGTAACGATAACCCTATATGCAAAACAGAAAAAGAGACACAGATGTACAGAACAGACTTTTGGACTCTGTGGGAGAAGGCGAGGGTGGAATGTTTCGAGAGAACAGCATTGAAACAAGTATACTATCAAGGGTGAAACAGATCAATAGCCCAGGTTGGATGCATGAGACGGGTGTTCAGCGCTGGTGCACTGGGAAGACCCAGAGGGATGGGATGGAGAGGGAGGCGGGAGGGGGGATCGGGATGGGGAACACATATAAATCCATGGCTGATTCATGTCAATGTATGGCAAAAACCACTACAATATTGTAAAGTAATTAGCCTCCAACTAATAAAAATAAATGGAAAAAAAAAGAAAAAAGAGAAAAGACAATGAACTTTACAACTCAAAGGGATGAATTTTATTTACTGGAGTAAATTATATTTCAACAAAGCAGTAATAAATTCAATATTGAATATTTTAGTCTGGGAAAATATTTAAGAAAACCATACATTTATTTGTAAACTTAACAACTACTTCCAAATGACCCACAGAGATGGAGATTGTAGCAGTTCGTTTGCCCTCCTAGAGTGGGTGCGAGCAGGGCTTTGAAGGGTAGTAGGGCTTTTCTGGTGGCTCAGACAATAAAGAATCCATCTGCAGTGTGAGAGGTCTGGATTCAATCCCTGGGTTGGGAAGACCCCCTGGAGAAGGGCAACCCACTCACTCCAGTACTCTTGCCTGGAGAATCCCAGTGGACAGAGGAGTCTGGTGGGTTACAGTCTATGGGGTTGCAAAGAGTCAGACATGACTGAACGACTAAGCACAGCACAGGGGGTAGGGAATGGGGGTGGTTCAGTGACCAGATGAGCCTGTGTTCTGGGGCTTTAGGGGTATGACCGGATGCAGATATTCTGGGGCCTGCGGATGGCACAGGCAGTGCCTGTTGCTTGTCAGGTCACCCCAGACCTCACTCTTGCTCAGAGTTACTTTCATTCACTCATCCCTTCAGCAGTGCCTGGGTCCCACCCTTGTACCAGAGTGGAGATGGGCTCTGGGGACTCAGAGCTGAGTCAGACCCAGGCCTGACCCTCTTGGGGCTCTCAGTTTTGGGGTGAGACAGACACATAGAGTCAGGACCTCACAGGGAAGTTGGTACAGAGCAAACGGGAGAGGCACTTGTCCTGCCTGGGGGGCTATCAGGGAAGACTTCCAGGAGGAGGCAGAGTCAGAGCTGAAACCTCCAGGATGATGGAGTTAACCAGGTGAAGAGGAGGGTAAGAGGGCTCCAGGCAGAGAGCACAGCTGTGTGTAGGAGGTGAGGGGTAAGATGGGGTGGAGGGGGGAGTCACATAGTTCACACCTTCTGCAGCCATGGGCCGTTCACTCTCGCTTGCAGTCGAGTTCCTCGTTTGGAGAAGAGTGCAATGACCCAGCCTCTCAAAGTGGGCAAGATGATTCAAGAGAATGTGTGTAAGGTGACCGAAGCACAGTTAGGTCTGCACCATAGGGGAAGAGGAGGCAGAGGGACATTTAGGGGCTTGAAGGGGAATAGGGGGACATCTGGTGGTAGTCTTTGAAACTGGGTCAGAACCCAGGGAGGGGGAAGATGTAAAAGGTCAAGAATTGGATAAGAAAGATCCTTGATAAAGAATCTTTATCTTGATAAAGGCTGTGAAGAAAAACTTCAAAGATACTAAGCAGAGAATGACTTGTGGGGAGGTGCATGTTATTCAGATAAGGTTACAAAGGAAGGCCTCACTGAAGAGGTGGCATTTGACCCGAGAGACTCAGAGGAAGAGATGGGGCCAGGCATGGGATCTAGAGGGAGAGCATTCTGGGCAGAGAGGTTAGCAAATGCAAAGACCCTGGGGCCAGAATGAGACTGGTGTGTTTAAGGATCAAAGGAAGCCAGTGTGGTTGAAACAGGCAAGGATAAGAGGACAGAAGACAAGATCAGAGGGGGCATGGGGGTCGATTAGGTTGGGCCTTGTGGTCACTGTGAGCTTGTACCGGCCCTGACATAGTGCAAGATGCCCTCCGGATCCTTGTTCCCGGTGGCTCCTGGCCCCCTGCTTCCTCCTCTGTTCTTGTCAAGGTCAGTGGGCAGGTTGGCCATCTCTAGATCCCTCCCAGTGCCTCTCCACCCACCCTGGCTCATCCAACAGTAAGGCCCACCCTCCCTGCACCCCCTTTTCATAGGATCCTCAGTCCTCTTGTTTAATGCTGGGTTACCGTTGCCATTGCTCTCTACCACATCCCCCGAGATCATCAAGGAATCAGCAACATTCATTGACTGAGTGGGTGATGAATGCATTGTTGCCATTGTTCGGGAGGTGGCCCAAGGTGAGTGCTCCTGTTTCTACTTCCTGGGGGCCTGAGCCTCAATTGCATCACCTGTAAAATGTGAGAGAATGTAGCCAACAAGTGTGTGAACAGATGCATGTAAACCTCCGTAGAAACTGGAGAAATGTGGGTTATACAGTAAGAGGCACAACCTCTCTACCTACACCTACTGGACCGGTGGCTCAAATGGTAAAAGTCTGCCTGCAGTGTGGGAGACCGAGGTTCGATCCCTGGGTCAGGAAGATCCCTTGGAGAAGGAAATGGCTACACACTCTAGTATTCTTGCCTGGAGAACTCCATGCACAGCCAGGCTACCGTCCATGGGGTTACAAAGAGTCGCACATGACTGAGTGACAAATACACGCACACAGTGGACTGGCAAAAGTTTGGAAGCCGGGAACTACCAAGTATTAGTGAGGATGTGGGAGATGGGAGTTCTTCATCCTGCTGATGTTTGGAGTGACGTGGTGCTGACCCAGCCACGCTTCTCCTGCGTATAAAACCTGGAGAGATTCTCCCGCAGGCCCTGGAGGGGACCCTAAGCCGTAATGGGTCTCTCGCCTGTGCTGAGGTGTGAGGAAGGGACCAGTCAACAATAAGCCATGTCTGATGTCATGGTAAGTGAGCCCCAGGGATGCAGGAGCAATGCAACTGGAGTTAAGAAACACCAAGTGCTTTGGGGTGGGGGGGGGCGATAAAAGAAGATAGAAATCTGTAGCATGAGGCCATTTCTATAAATAAAAGACCACACACACCACAAAACATTCCCACATGGTTCACAAGAATCACGAGTATTCAAGCACACAGACTGGACCCTAAGAGTGGGTGCCTGGGTGAGAGCGGAAGAGCAAGGAGCATCAAGAGGGAAATAAAGCAAGAGAGGCATTTACGGGAATTGAGACCCATTAACTCAACTTTCTTGGCATCCACACTGTAAAAACAAAATGAAGATAAAATGGGTATGATGGAAGGGTGGCCATAGCAATGTTTTCCTCAATGAGCCAAAGTGGGCAGAATACTCAGCGTGGTCATGGCCCGCAGTCAAGCTTCTGAGGTGAGTCTTCCAGCCACTGGCTCAGGTCTTGCTTGTCTAGCTTCCTAGGCAGTGATGCCCTCTCGTGGCCAAAACAGTGATAAAACTCAGGCCACTGCCAGTTGTTAGGTTGCTCAGTCTTCTCCAGACTTTTTGTGAGCCCATGGACTGCAGCATGCCAAGCTTCCCTATCCTTCTCTCTCTCCCAGAGTTTGCTCAAATTCATGTCCATTGAGTCACTGATACCATCCAACTATCTCATCCTGTCGTCCCCTTCTCCTCCCACTTTCAATCTTTCCCAGCATCAGGGTCTTTTCCAATGAGTCAGTTCTTCACATCAGGTGGCCAAAGTATTGGAGGTTCAGCTTCAACATCAGTCCTTCCAATGATTTCCTTTAGGAGTGACTGGTTTGATCTCCTTGCAGTCCAAGGGAGTCTCAAAAGTCTTCTCCAGCATCACAATTCGAAAACATACCCAGGCCACTACCAGGGAATCAGACGAAGGGTGTGAAAGAAGGAAGGAAGATGGAGTCACAAGATGAAGGGGATTTCCGATTGGGAAAGACATGGATCCAGTGAGGCTTCCTGGAGGAGCATTTATGCTGAAGGATAGATACTATCTGGAGTCTGGGATAGTGATAAGCTAATGAAAGAAAGCGTGGTGTTATTAATATATTATCGAAAGTTGATTGCTGTGGACAGTGACTGCAGCCATGAAATTAAAAGTCACTTGTTCCTTGGAAGAAAAGCTTTGACAAACCTAGACAGCATATTAAAAAGCAGAGACATTACTTTGCTGACAAAGGTCTGTACAGTCAAAGCTATGGTTTTTCCAGTACTCACATAGGAATGTGAGAGTTGACCCATAAAGTAGGCTGAGTGCCTAAGAATTAATGCTTTTGAACTGTGGTATTGGAGATGACTCTTGAGAGTTCATTGAACAGCAAAGAGATCAAACCAGTCAATTCTAAAGGAAGTCAACCCTGAATATTCATTGGAAGGACTAATGCTGAAGCTGAAACTCCAATCCTTTGGCGAAGAGCTGACTCATTGGAAAAGACCCTGGTGCTGGGAAAGATTGAGGGCAGGAGGAGAAGGGGGCGACAGAAGGTGAGATCTTTGGATGGCGTCAGCGACTCAATGGACATGACTTTAAGCAAACTCCGGGAGATAGTGAAGGACAGGGAAGCCCGGGGTGCTGCAGTCCATGGGGTTGCAAAGGGTCAGACACCACTTACAGACTGAACAACAACCATCACTAAGCCATTCTGTGTGCCAGTCTTCACACACCTGATATTTTATCCTCCAACACCCCGGGAATGAGTGTTAATGCTTTTGGCCTCACTGACAGCTGTGAAAAGGGAGACTCAGGGAGCAAGGTGACACACCCAAGGATCCGCACCCAGTCTGGGGGACTGACTGGTATACTCAATCGTTTTCACTTTGGGGTGGATCAAGGAAACCAGTGATCCCAGGCACAATTTACCCCTGAATCTTGGCATCTGAACAACCCCTAAGCAGAATTCCACATCAGGTCTGCACAAGTAATGGAAATGGAACCCCCGGAAACAGAGGGAAGCTCGCTGTGGGATGGCCTGCAGGGCCTCACCTCGGAAGCTGCCTCTTGTCCTTTGGCAGGCAACTGGGGTGCCCACACTTGGGGATCAAAAGTGGGGTCTCACTCTGCACTCAAGGACGTGTCTCTAAGGCACTGTCTGAAAAATGCTTCATTTCAGAATTTATATCAAAGTCCTTTGAATTTTTATTAAAGATATTATTTAATGACCAGTTTGCAAAATGTCTCCAAAGTATTTCATTTTTACTTTTTGGACTCGGTAATATATTTCTATCTCTTAAAAGTCAAAAGGAACAAAAGAGAAAAGTAAATCTCCTTCCCATGCCCTTCAACCGCAGCCCGTGCACACCACACTGTGCTGTGAAACTGGCCTTGCTCAGGTAACAGTGTGTCTCGGGATCGCTCTGGGCCAGCATGCCGCCTGCTTCCTCAGTTTTCTCAGCTGCACGGTATTCATTCCAAGCTATTGTAGCTTAAGCAGATCTCTTAGATTGTAACAGATTGTAGCATAAACAGATCTCTTAGAGAGTTCAGGATGTTTCCAATTTTTTGTGATCACACATAGCCTGCGAGGAATAGCCAAGTACCATGTATGCTTGTCACTTTGCACGTGAACAAGGCTAATCAGAGGATCAATCACTAGAAGTGAATTTCCAGGTCAGGGGACATGCGCAATGTAATTCTGATAGATGTCCACTGTAGAGGTTGGGCTTCCCTGTCAGCTGTAGAGGCTGGCCTTTTCCTTTCTGTAGGGTTTGGGCTTCCCTGGGAAAGGTAGGAGTGAGTACCAGAAGTTGACCCACAGCCCAGTGGTTTGAAATTCTGGCTCTTTGCCAATCAGATAGGTGGAAAATAGCTCTGGGTGATTTTATTGTCATTTAATTTGAGTGAGGTTGACCATCTTCGCTAGTGCGTGTGAATTCTTATTCTAGATCAATGTTTTTGCCATAAAAGAGCAAAGCCAAAGAAGCGGAAGAAGATGGCGCTCACCAGTTTTTTACCTGCACCTACTCAGCTGTCTCAGGACCAGCTTGAGGCTGAAGAAAAGGCATGATCCCAGAGATCATGACAGACCTCACTGGTCTCCCGAAGAGAGCCTCCCCTGTACAGTTACCAGAAAAGCTGGATACCTCGATTATTAGAGGATTTTGGAGATGGAGGGGCTTTTCCAGAGATCCACGTGGCCCAGTATCCCCTGGATATGGGACGAAAGAAGAAAATGTCAAAGGCATTGGCCATTCAGGTGGATGCTGAAGGAAAAATTAAGTATGATGCAATTGCTCGACAAGGACAGTCGAAAGACAAGGTCATTTATAGCAAGTACACTGACCTGGTTCCCAAGGAAGTCATGAATGCAGATGACTCAGACTTGCAAAGATCTGATGAAGAAGCCATTAAAGAATAACAGAAAAGACAAGGGTAGCCTTAGAAAAATCTGTATCACAGAAGGTTGCTGCAGCCACGCCAGTCTGGGCAGCTGATAAACTGGCTCCTGTTCAGTATATCCGATACACACCATCTCAACAAGGAGTGGCTTTCAGCTCTGGAGCTAAACAGAGAGTTATTCGGATGGTGGAAATGCAGAAAGATCCAATGGAGCCTCCAAGGTTCAAGGTTAATAAGAAAATTCCTCGGGGACCATCTTCTCCTCCTGCACCTGTCATGCATTCTCCTGGCTGAAAGATGACCATGAAGGAGCAGCAAGAGTGGAAGATTCCTCCCTGTATTTCAAACTGGAAAAATGCAAAGGGTTATACAATTCCATTAGATAAACGTCTGGCTGCCGATGGAAGAGGGCTGCAAACAGTTCACATCAATGAAAATTTTGCAAAACTGGCTGAAGCCCTCTACATTGCTGATCGAAAGGCTCATGAAGCGGTGGAAATGCATGCGCAAGTAGAGAGAAAGATGGCTCAAAAAGAAAAGGAAAAACATGAAGAGAGACTTAGAGAAATGGCCCAGAAAGCCAGAGAGAGAAGAGCTGGGATCAAAACCCATGTGGAAAAAGAGGACGGGGAGGCACGTGAGAGGGATGAAATCCAGCATGACTGGAGAAAAGAGAGACAGCATGACCGGAGCCTCACCAGGGCAGCTGCAGACACGAGGTCAAAACTGCAGAGAAATGAAAACCGAGACATCAGTGAAGTCATTTCTCTTGGTGTGCCCAACCCTCTTACTTCCAATGAAGTTCAGTGTGACCAAAGGCTCTTCAACCAGTCCAAGGGTATGGACAGTGGTCTTGCAGGTGGAGAAGATGAAATTTACAGTGTTTATGACCAAGCCTGGAGAGTGGAAAAGGTATGGCCCAGAATATTTACAGGCCCAGTAAAAATCTGGACAAGGACATGTAGGGAGATGACCTAGAAGCCAGAATAAAGACTAACAGATTTGTTCCCGATAAGGAGTTTTCTGGTTCAGACCATAGACAAAGAGGCTGAGAAGGACCAGTTCAGTTTGAGGAGGATCCTTTCAGTTTGGACAAATTTTTGGAAGAAGCCAAGCAACACGGTGGCTCTAAAAGACCCTCAGATAGCAGCCGTCCCAAGGAACATGAGCATGAAGGCAAGAGGAGGAAGGAGTAGATACTTTGTTCAGAGTGAACGAACTGTTATTGATAACCCTAATGATGCAAGTCATATGGGGAACACTGTACATGGCCAGGATAAAAACCAAATCTGGGTGTCAGAGCCCAGCACTACTTTTTATTACAGGAGAGGGAGGGGGATATGGAAAAGTTCTACTTTAATTATTTAGTTTTTTAGAAAATGGGTTGTGTTTGTGCTTCTCCCACCTTTTGGCATTTATAGAAAATACTGCCCCACACATGAAATTAAGGCCACTTCCTTTCAAGTGACATTAGTACTTTGGGGTTAATATTTTGTCTAAAAATGACTGCTTATGAATAAAGTGACCCCAATCATAGCAAGTAGAAAGGATGTTCACATATTGGAACTGTCCTGCCAAATCATGTTTGCCCCTGTTGTGCTCCGTTAACTTGGAGTGGTGAAAGTAAGCTCTTGCTTGGTGCAACTATTTGTTTCAAATAAAGGCATTTAGACAAAAAAAAAAAGAGCAAAGCCTTCGGGTGCCCATGCATAAATGAAAGGGCAACGGTTTGAGCTCCCATTCCACTGCTTACTTTCTGAGACTCAGATTCCTTGTCTGTAAAAAATACAGGAATAATAATAAAATCTCCTCCAGAGACACCTAACAGAGCACAAGTTTTTAATGTTAAGTGCCTGGCACAAGTTCCTGGCTCACAAGTGAATAAACAAATATGTCATAATAAAAACTTTTATTGAGCACTAGCTGTGTATATATAAACCCTTGCTCTTATGTTAACCTATTTAAACCTCACAGTGACAATGGAAGGGACACCCATTTCCCCCTTCTACAGATGAGGAAACTGAGGCACAGAGAAAACCAGAGTGTGTCAGTCACTCAGTTGTGTCCGACTCTTTGCGACCCAGCAGGTTCCTCTGTCCAAGGGATTTTCCAGGCATGAATACTGGAGTGAGAAAACCAGAGGGTCTTGCCTAAAGGCCCAGCGATGGAGATGGGATTGGTGGCCTTGCTGTCTGTCCCTCCACCCTAGGAGAGAGGTACCACGGTCAACCCCTGTTTCCATTGTCTGTTGCTACAAAACCTCCCAACCTGAGAGGTGGAAAGCATCAACCATTTTACTGTGCTCATGAGTTCTGAGGATTGGAGTCCAGACAGAACAGAGCAGGGCTGGCTTATCTCTGCCGGCACCTTGGCTGGGAAGACACTACAGCTGGGGCTAGAAAGGCCAGGGCTGGCGGACCCACTCTGGAGATGGCTTCTTTAGTGGCAGGTCTGGCTGGATGATAATTTGTCTTGTGAGCGGCAGGTTGAATGGAAAAGCACTGCTAAAGGTGAGGCTGGGAGTCATGGAGGGCAGGGTGGGGAGCCAGCAGGCCCCATTGTTGTAGCCACGCATCCTGGGAAACAAACTCACTCAGAAGGACAATGCAGATAGTGGAGTGCAGTTTATTACACCAGCGGGCCCAAGGCAGAGTCTCCTCTTAGCCAAGGACCCCGACCAGAATTTGTGAAAATCTTTTATACCCCATGTGTATGTGTCCGAACCCACCACCCCAAATTCCTTGAGACTTACATAAACTAAGGAAGGGTAAATACAATCCCAATAACCCCATCACTCATGTGCCATGTGCTCACACAAACAATTAGCCAATAATCAATAAGCATGAGGTTACACTCCAACAGGTACAGAAAAATGTATGGCCTGTCTGGAGGAAGGGGTGATCAGTGTATGTGTTCTCTTAGGCAATGAGTAACCTGGACACCATCTTCAAGATCCCCCTGTCCGGAGGGGGTCTTATCCTTCTGTTGTTTCCATAGATACTAAACAGAGTTCAGAGTCCATTGGAGAGTTGGCCAAGCATGATCAGCATGAAAAGGCCTAAGATGGAGTCCAGGCCCTATGAATTTCTTCTTCATCAGGGCTGTGTCCCCATGTTCCAGGGTCTAACAACCTAAGAGCCTTAGGAGTTCTGGGCTTGGCACCCCCACGAGCAGCTTCCTGTCCAGGCCTCTCTGCACCTACTCTTTCCTTGAGCTGGGACCCTTCCGGTCCATCACATTCACACCTCCTCATTCATCAGTTCCCAGCTTGGCTCTCTGGTCCTGGAAGTGGAGCTCCCAGATTTGCTGTCCCTCCTCCTAGATCCTGCTCCCTGTGGAGGGGCCTTATCACACCATTGTATGGACTTGTCCACAGGCTGAAAGCTCCAGGGAAAAGGTCTGGGTTCTTATCAGCAACACCCAGCACAGTCCCAGGCACACAGCAGGCACTTTGTGCATATTTACCGAGTGGATAAAGAGATGAGATCAATGACTTTTGAATGGCTTTAACTTGAGCCTCAATTTCCTCTTCTATAAGCTGGTTTTCAGGGATACTATGAAGGTGGAAGGAGATAAAGGATGTGAAAATATATGCACATAAGAGGCAGGCAGAAAAATGGGAGTTAATATAATCTATACTGAAGAGGGGAAAGCAAAGACAATGAGATACTGCTCCTAAAACACTTAGCAGTGTCTGGCACACAGTAGGTACTCAATACATAGAAGATATTCTTGTTATTAGTCAGCATTATTGTTATTACTATTTCTTTTTTTGTTGTTGTTATAAGAAAGCAGATTTCCTGAGCCAGAAGGACCCATAGCATGGTTTTCATACATGTGGAAATGGAAATGGAACCTGTGAAGCTCCAGAAGTTGGGGGTGGGGTGGGTATGTTGTGTGTCTTGGCAAGAGGTTCAGAATTGCCACCATCATGGAGACTGGCTATGGAATGTTGGGTGAACTTCCTCTGCTGATCTGTTTCCCTTCTGTGTGAGAAAGGGCCTGGGCTCTGGACCTCACGCCTGACCCACTGGAGCTGTGTGAATGCGGCTTATCCCATTGCCACAGGTGGGCTGTTGCAAGCCTGTTCCTGGTTGGGCAGCGCCCTCTAGTGACAGAGGTGGGTATAACAAGTACCGTGGTGCCTGGTCAGGCAGGTATATGAAGTGAGCACAGGCCATGCAGAGAGGCGGCCTGGGGAGAGAGCCTTAGTGGGCCTCGCTGGAGTGGGCCCTACAGGGGTCAGGTAGGGGAGCCTAAACTTGGGCTACACTGTTGTTCTCTCCCTCTGGGGTAGTCCGGAGGGGCCAGATGCCAGAACCTCCCCACGTACTCTGCGTGACTGCCCTCTCTTGTTGGGTGGCCCCACCAGTTTCTGAGCTTCTCTCTCTCTGAGCTTGATCTGCAAAAGGTGGTCACCTGGGAGGGTCTTCTTCCAAGGAAGGGGCCTAAATTCTGGGGAGAATGAGGGTGAGGCTGAGATTGTCAAGGCTGCATATTGTCACCCTGCTTATTTAACTTAGAAGCAGAGTCCCTCATGCGAAATGCCAGGCTGAATGACTCGCAAGCTGGAATCAAGATTGCCAGGAAAAATATCAACAACTTCAGATATGCAGATGATACCACCCTTGTGGCAGAAAGCGAAGAAGAACTAAAGAGCTTCTTGATGAAAGTGAAAGAGGAGAGTGAAAAATTGGCTTAAAACTCAACATTCATGAAACTAAGACCATGGCATCTGGTCCCATCACTTCATGGCAAATAGATGGGGGAAAAGTGGAAACAGTGACAGACTTTGCATTCTTAGGCTCCAAAATCACAGTGGATGATAACTTCAGTCCCAAAATTAAAAGATGCTTGCTCCTTGGAAGAAAAGCGACAACAAACCTCAACAGTGTATTAAAGAGCAGAGATATGACTTTGCCAACAAGTCTGTATAGTCAAAACTGTGGTTTTTCCAGTAATCATGTGAGTCCATGCGAGAGCTGGACCATAAAGAAGGCTGGCTGCCAAAGAATTGAAGCTTTTGAACTGTGGTGCTGGAGAAGACTCTTGAGAGTCCCTTGAACTGCAAGGAGACCAAACCAGTCAATCCTAAACAAAATCAACCCTGAATATTCACTGGGAGGACTGATGCTGAAGTTGATGCTCCAATACTTTAGCCACCTGATGTGAAGAGCTGACTCACTGGAAAAGACCCTGATGCTGGGAAAGATTGAGGGCAGGAGGAGAAGGGGGTGACAGAAGATGAGATGGTTGGATGACATCAGGGACACAATGGACATGAGTTTGAGCAAACTTCGGGGGATAGTGAGGGACGGGAAGCCTGGCATGCGGCAGTCCATGGTGTCGCAAAGAGCTGAAGATGACAGTGACGAAGCAACAACAGGAACTGGGGTGGAGGGGCAATGAACGGCCTGAGATCCAAAGGTTGTCAGAGGGGTTTAGGCCCTGAAGAAACTTCATCTCCTAACTTGAAAATGTTTAGAAAAAACCTTGTCTACAGCCCCCAGTTGGGTGGGGCAGAGAACCAGGTCCTCTGAGGCAAAGAATATGGTCAGGGGATAGCAGGACTGGAACTTTCCATTCCTGTCTTCATGTCTTGGAATTTTGGAATTTAGAACATTCAACATCCTAGAATTTGACGCTTATCAGAAAACTCCATGTGGAATATCATCTCTGTAGAATCAGATTATGCCTTGAGATCGGAATCAGAAGTACAGTCAACTCCACTTCAGACCCAGTAACCTGGGACTGGAGGTCATCCGAGAGTGTCCTTTGCCCCGAGTCTGGTCTTGGAATGAATGTTGGCTCCCACTTCAGTACAGTTCAGTTGCTTAGTTGTGTCCAACTCTGTGTGACACCAAGGACTGCAGTATGCCAGGCTTTCCTGTCCATCACCAACTCCCGGAGCTAACTCAAACTCATGTGCATTGAGTTGGTGATGCCATCCAACCATCTCATCCTCTGTCGTCCCCTTCTCCTCCTGCCTTCAATCTTTCCCAGCATCAGGGTCTTTTCAAATGAGTCAGTTCTTCACCTTGGGTGGCCAAAGTATCGGAGCTTCAGCTTCAGCATTAGTCCTTCCAATGAATATCCAGGACTGATTTCCTTTAGGATGGACTGGTTGGATCTCCTTGCAGTCCAAGGGACTCTCAAGAGTCTTCTCCAATACCACAGTTCAGAAGCATCAATTCTTTTTGGCCCTCAGCTTTCTTTATAGTCCAACTCTCACATCCATACTTGACTACTGGAAAAACCATAGCTTTGACTAGATGGACCTTTGCTGGCAAAATAATGTCTCTGCTTTTTAATATGCTGTCTAGGTTGATCATAGCTTTTCTTCCAAGGAGCAAGCGTCTTTTAATTTCATGGCTGTAGTCACCATCTGCAGTGATTTTGGAGCCCAAGAAAATAAAGTCTCTCACTGTTTTCATTGTTTCCCATCTATTTGCCATGAAATGATGGGACCAGATGCCATGATCTTAGTTTTCTGAATGTTGAGCTTTAAGTCAACTTTTTCACTCTTCTCTTTCACTTTCATCAAGAGGCTCTTTAGTTCTTCTTCGCTTTCTGCCATAAGGGTAGTGTCATCTGCATATCCGAGGTTATTGATATTTCTCTTCGCAATCTTGATTCCAGCTTGTGCTCAACCAGCCCGGCATTTCGCATGATGTACTCTGCATATAAGTTAAATAAGCAGGGTGACAATATACAGCCTTCACGTACTCCTTTCCTGATTTGGAACCCAGTCTGTTGTTCCATGTCCAGTTCTGACTGTTGCTTCTTGACCTGCATACAGATTTCTCAGGAGGCAGATCAGGTGGTCTGGTATTTCCACCTCTTTAAGAGTTTTTCACCATTTGTCATGATCCACACAGTCAAAGGCTTTGGGGTAGTCAATTTGCTCTCACTGTCTGCTCCTAAATTTGTTCACAATTAGTTAAGTTTGGGACAGGGCCCCGAAATCTGAATGTTTAGGCAGCACCAGAAAATGCTGTTAGGCCACCTAGGTTTTTGTTGTTACTCTTTAGTCACTTCAGTCATACATGACTCTTTGTGACCCCATGGACTGTAGCCCACCAGGCTCCTCTGTCCCTGGGATTTTCCAGGCAAGAATACTGGAGTGGGTTGCCATATCCTACCCCAGGGCATCTTCTCCACCCAGGGATGGAAACTGTGTCTCCTACTTGGCAGGTGGATTCTTTACCACTGAGCCACCTGGGAAGACCCCTCCCCCAGGTTAGGCAATGGATTTAACCCAGTTATGCCTCCTCTTCATCCATCAAAAGGGAGCATTGAGGCCCAGAACAGGAAATGATTTGGCCTTGACCCTTCTGGTTGCCGGTGACAAGCTGAGACTTGGACCTGTGCCTCCCAGCGCTAACCGCCCCCCTGCCAATAGCTGCCCAGGGAGTTTAGATAGCTCTGTGAAACTGTCACACCTCCTAGGTGTCCCTGACCCTCCAGACTTGTCATACAGGGCACACATGAGTTCCTGGGGCCTCTCCTGTGATCTTGGGGCTGAGAGGTACAGGAGTAGGGGAGCACAGCTCTCATCTGCCTCTGGCTGAGCCCTCTTCTTGTGAGACGCCTGGAGGGGCTGAGGGCCCGAAAATTCCCCACCCAGTCCCTTATACACCCTGGTCCTCTGGTCTCTGGGCATTCCAGAGAAAACCACCCCACATGGTTCAATTACTCCAAACTCATCAGGATAATGATTTTGCAACACCACTTGATGCCCAAGAAGATTCTGTGAGTTTCTTTTCCCTTTATTAAAAAAAAAGTGGGGTCTTGAAATAACAACAGAACACTTCAGAGGCACAAACTTTTGCAGAAGAGAAGCTAGTGGTCTAGCCAGGCAAGGGGCTCTCGCTGACTTCAGGGAGACAAAGAATGAGGCCTTGGGGGACAGGGCCCCCAGAGTCTGTTGGAGGCAATGATAGGGGATCCGCCTGTGCCAGTTGGAGGGAAGCCTGAGCGTGGGCACTGTCTCTGGGCGGGATTGTCCTTTTTCATCACCTTCAGCCTCTCCTCCGGCCCGCTGACACCTCCATTCCCAGGCCACCCTGGGGCCCTGGGGTCTCATGCTCTCCTTGTTCTTGGCTGCTGGCAATGCCAATGCAGGAAGCACCACTTTCTGGGGAGTTAGGAGAGCAAAGGAAGAGGGAGGCACTTAATGGTGGAACGACAGGCAGTGAGGAGATGCCTTGTCTTGCTCTTCCTGCTGGTGTATGGCCTTGGCCGGCGGTTGGGGGGTGTCACAGGCTGGGGTGTCAGGGGCGAGGTGGGTGAGGAGGGGAATCCTCCCTTACTCCTGACCCGAAAACTTCCTTCCTCACCTCCCCAAGGCTCTCAAAGCTTCCTCGCAGCTGTGGGTTTGCTGAGCAAGTGAGCAAGTGGAAGGCACAGCCCATGGGATCCCTGGGTGATCTTGGACAAGTCCCTTCTCGGCCTCAGTCTCCCCAGAGGTACAACAAACAGGAGGAGCTGGGGAGAACGGAGTGGCCTGGAGAATCTCCAAGTTCCTTTCAGCCTACATGGCCTCTTCTGGGATGAACTGGGATGCAGGACATAGGTGAGCAGGGGCTCGGGAAGCAGGGGCCAGGGCACCTTGAGAGGGAGAGTGCTGAGGGAGCATTGATGGGTGCAGCAGGAAGCTTCCAGAAGGGTGGCCTCGGCACAAGGCTGGCTGTCCGGCCAGAGGCCCCGTCACGGCTCCTCCATGGCCAGCTGGGGTATCCGGAAGCCCGCGGAGTCTCTTCCACGGGCTTCCCAGGGAAGCTGGGGGCTGTGGAGATGCCTCTAGGGACTGGCTAGAGCTGGAGGCACCCACAGCTCTGGGTGCTGGAGTATCCTCAGGAGTGGAAGTAGGGCTCTCAGGACTCAACAAGCCTGCTGGGGCTGTGGCCTGGGCCCCTATCTTAGAAACACCTTCTCTGCAACGGGGCTGAGGAGGGTCAGGGAAAGACCTAGAATAAAAGAGGTGCGCTTTCTTTAAGGAGGAATAGAGTGAGGAGTTGGGAGGCGGGGTGCGCTGGAGTTGGTCTCTGTCTTAGCGTGTGCGTGGTGGTGGGGGGGACACAGTGAAGAAAAACAGGAGTAAAGGAAAAGATGAAAGGAAAGCAAGAAAAAGGAGAAAGGAGGGGTAGGAAGGAGGGGAAAACCGAGGTGGCAGAAATGTAGGAAATACAGGAGAAAAAAGAGAGGAGATGTGAGTGAGAAAAAGAGAACAGGGAAGGGAGAGGAGGGGGAACAGCTAGAGAGTGAAGGGGCGAGAGAGAACTCTTGAAGCGGCGATGCCCTGGCTGCGGGCTGGGCGCCTAGTTGGGCGCCGGCCGGGGC